CCTCAGTTTCATGATCAAATACAGATTCAAAATAAATGAAATACAGAGAAAAAGTTGAAAATAAGAGATTTCATTTTAAGGAGATAATAAGAATATATGCACCACACTCAGCCAAGAACTTTCCACATGTGCTCATGCTTTTCTGTTCCAGCCACGGAGCTGATGCTGCAGCACGGACACGGGAAGACAGAGGCAAAAGGAATGCAAAGAGAAGAAAAGCAGCAGTTCCCAAGCCCAGCTCCTTCTATATGAGGTGACCTCCTCTGAGCAGCTCAAACTCCTATCAACACAACAGCAGTGTGGGACCAGAGAATGGCAGAGCTCTGCAGGGCAGCTCGAGCCGTGGTCAGACAGCCACTGCTGCTCCTTCTGAGACCTCTGACCAGGAGCTGTGACCTCACACAACCTCACCTGCCTGCTCCCAGCCACTGCTCCCTGCTTCTCCCCTTCACCAGCAGCAGAACTGGGCAGGAAATGCCATTTTAGAGGCAGAGGAGAAAAACGTAAGGCATTTCTATCAAAGAGCATCTCTTCATTGAATAATTTCCCAGGTTTAAATATCTGTTAACAACTCAGAAGCAAGAGGAAACGTTTTGCCGAGGGGAAATCAACAGTATATTAAGAGCTGAGTATTATTGCTGAAGGCAGCTTTAAGAGATCATAAGTTTACAGACTGAAGGAGTTGGATACATTTGATCATTCCAAAAAGTACACAGACACTTTCAGTACCATTCCTCTTCCATCTGTGCAGGAGCAGCATTTCAGTTACATTTCATAGATATCAATGGGTAAAGTGAGCTTTCAGATTTCACTGATTTTATACAAAATAGAGAAGTGCTGATGTTCCCTTCTGAAATCAACTCCTGTGGAAAATAAATTTTTTAAATAGCATGCATGTTATGTGCTGCAATCACAGATATTTTTTTTTAATGTATATATATACACACATTTTTTTGCTGTAGCAGTGATACATTTTGATCTCTCATAATGGACATTTTCAAATGTGTTTTTTTAGAGAAGTAAATCATTTGCCTTCCTGCCACGTCCTTCCACATCCACCCAAACTGCAGTGCTCTGTGCAGAGATGATACGGTTTCAACCAAACCACCTTCTCCTCATCTGACCTGTCCTATAGGAATGCACCCATCTCACCTTCTGAAATTCAAAAAACACCAAGCCAAAAAACAAAATAGGAATTTGGGCACAATTCTCTGTCAGCGATGCTCAAAAATTGTAATGGAAGCATCAACCATCAGCCACAAGCAGACTTCATATCACTGGAGGGCAAGAGGAAGGGAGATTTCATTAGCAGCTCATGAAAATCATTGTCAATTGATATTCAGTTTAATTGCACCAGAGTTTAATGCTGATGGCAAAACCTGAAGCATAGAACTCATCCAAAATCCTTTGGAATCAATGTGATTCTTAACATCAACTTCCTCAAAGCCAGGATTTCTGCCTAATTGCTTTCAAATAAAATGCATAGGTTATTTCTAGATCACTCTGATTACCTCTAGGATTCCACCAGACTGAACCAGGACAGCTCGCCTGCCTCCCAGGGCGCTTTCTGTGAATCCCAAAAGCTCATACTTTGCATATAATAATTATATCCAATTAAAAAAATAGCGTGACGTGACTTCCAACATCCAAAGGTCAAAAATTCAGCTAACATATATTAATCTTTATTATGTAACAATGACATAATTAATGACTTTATGAGCTTCATATGACCTGTACAAAAAGCAAAAAAGATATTGCACCAAGTGAGGTACTGCCTATTTGGATTCCAGATTTGTTAAGCATACAATCTAAAATTATATACAGTCGTGGAGTTAAGGCAAAGCCAGATGATACCTGTAACACAAGAGAAGGTTTGAAAAATGGGCATAATTACAAACCGGGGGACACACTTCCAGCTAATAAAGCATCTGTGTCTAAGGAAGGGATCCCTCAGGTTTTCAATATAGCAGTTATTATCAATCACATTAATTAAAATTGAAAAGTGTGAGATTTCCTGAAGAGCAAAGCTGTTCTGAAAATCGCGCCTGGATGATCACCTCTAACCCTGATAAGAGTATTTTTCTTAATGGTTATCAGCTGCTCTTGTTTTTGGAAAAGAGGAATAACTTACAGATCCCACTAAAATCCAGCCATACCCTCTTAGCTTTCTGCAGGCAAGATGCAATCATAGCAAGTGTCAGAGCATAAATATATGGGTGAACCATCCAACACACTACAGCAGAGGAGAATTAAAGTCAGTCACTTAGCTTAAATAATTACCTTTCTCAAGACAATGGAATAACTCATGTTAGCTCAGTCCCAGGGACAGAAACATGTATGACCAACACATCAATATACAGTTCTTTGGCAGCAACACACTAACTCTTGATTGAAGTCTGAACTCAAATTCTGCTAAATTATGGACCTGGTTGCCAAGTTGTTTCACAATTAAGGAAAATCCACTTCTCTCACGAATCCATAAGTCCAGTAAATGAAATCTGAATAAAATTTGCAGGCAGCTTTAGACCATAACATTAAGCACAGGTATTTATCGTCTGCTTTAGTCTCAATCCAAATATGTTGTATTTAAACACACAAAATTCTGTGAAACTTCTGTGTAGTTCAGATGGGGCCAAAATCCATAAAGAGAATCCATATTCACCCATGAAAAACCAATAAGGAAACATCAATCCCACGATGACAGAATGATCTTCATGTGACAGAGGCAATGACAACTCCACAACCGGACAAGCGTCACAGGAAATTGACTTTACAGTGGAAAGACCAGAAAGCCAGAAAACGTAGAATACTGCCATCCACCAACCAGATTACCTTTCTCCAACTTCAGGTAAACCTTATCCTCCTTGTCTAGATAGAGCAGGACTCCATTAGTGGCAGCTTCACGAGTGACGTCCTTGTCCCCAGCAAAAGCAGAGATGACTGGCTTCCCATTGAGCATCAAGTTAACCTGCACGAGAAAAAGCACCAAGAAGCTCTAATTAACAGCAGAACATCAGCAAGTATCACTGAATATTAACTACGGTGCCACAGATATGTTGTGGACAAGCCCTTTTGTTTCCTAGCCTTGATCTGCAGCTGACTGCAATCAGTGGGACACCATCCCTGACTGCAATGGCTGGGGTTCAGCGTGAAGGATAACAAGATATTGGTTGCATGTGCTGTTAATTATTGGCCAGGCAGCTCTGTTTGTGCTCTGGTAACGTGGACTTGGGAGCTCAGTTTTGCTCCTCTCTACCCATTTCATTGGTCATTCAGACACATTCAGTAAAGACAACGTTTTCATGAGACTTTACAGGCACCTGGAGATGCACTATGGGCACCTAATTACATTTCAGAAGACCCATGGTAGAGTGAGAGTTTACACTCCACTGAGAGCAAAATATACATCCCTTCTATCAGTAGCTGCATTTTAAAGTCCAGAACAGACCTTCAGCTTTACGAGCAGTTGCACTGTGTTTTGATAGCGAGCCCATTCTTCCACAGAACACTTCTGAAGTCAGCTCAGCCCCTGCTCCGAGTACATCACACAGGTTCTGTGTAAATACCCACAGGAAGGACAGGGGCACAGGCAGGTCAACACACCTCCATTTCCCCAGAGGCAAACTGTTAGTTTTCTTCTTCTTTTTAAACAGCAATAACAGTCGCAAAGGGGTGAAATGTCTGTTCAAAGGAGTAATCTGGCCTTGCACACATTCCCACCAGTTTTAACAGGAGTCGCAGCAGAATAAATTACTGCTCAGCAAAAGTCAGGGCAGCAGAATCTGGCACTGATTTGGGATTCACTTATCTGGGAAATCCACTTAATCAGATGTCCCCAGGGAGCCAATTTCAGTTTAATGATACTTAATGGCACTAACAGATGTTTCAGGGGCGCGGTGGCATCACTTATAGGAGCCTTCTGCCAAGTCAGTGGTGTTTAAGGCTGCACGTGGCTGGGACTCAAGCAGGTTTGCTCCATGGCAGTGCTTTCAGTCCTCCCTGATGCTATCACACGTGCACAAAAGGACACCAAGAGTTTGCTCGTGGCCAGGCTTGGCTTTCTTCATTCCCTACTGGGCTGGTTTCCCTGCAGGCCCTCATCAGGATGCACACTGCAGCTTTGCCTCAGGTGGTCCACATGAACTGTGCCAAAATGGAGCCAAACACACCCAACACTTCTGAAAAACTTCATTGATAAGAAATGTAGATCACATGGCAGGCCATGATGTTCTCTGTTACACACCCCAGCTCCCAGGTTTGAGTTCATGGCACGTGAAACACTAAAGTCTGCCCTGCACTTCCAGAACCAAAGCCCTGATGTCTTTCCTGGCAATGTGTAATTTAAACCCAATAACAAGGGCTGTATCCATCATTCCAGACCATTTCAACACTTGGTATTTAAGAGAGTGAAAGGAACCAGATCAGAGCTTATTAAATAGCTTACAAGCCCTTTACAGGGGAGTTAGTGATGCTATTATTTCATCTCAGCTTTTATCTTTGACCTGAAGGAAACAAAGACTCGAAGCCATAAGCAGGGAATGGCCCTCCAGGTTCTCTGCCTTCTCCACCATTCACACCTTTCAGTACTGGCAGCCCAAAGTCAGGGCTGCACACAGGGATCACCCCTGCAGAAATCAGCTTTGTCTCAGCCATGTCACACTGAAAAACATATTCAATGGCAAGACAGGTCAGGGGAAAAGCATCAGATTCTTCTGTGGATCCAATGGCCTCATAGGCAAAAAGAAATTATTAGTGTACATCTAGAAAGCCAGGACAAACATCACAGGCATTGCATGACCTGGGGCAAAGATTAAGGAATGGGCTTTGAGCAATTTGCTTTTGGCTCAGCAAGGAAACGTTCTGGAACTTAGAATAATTTATATTTAATTATGTAGTTCAGCTGCTAGTAAGCTACAGAAAAAAAGTAGAATTACACCATTTTTTAGTACATGAAGCATCTTTTATGTATTGAATGGCGAAGCAAGTTTAAACTGCACAAAGATTCCCTACAGAGACATAATATTTTGGTTGTTGCAGAACAAACCAACCACCTCAGCCTTGGTGCACAGCAGGCTGGGTTCGTGAGCATCCATCTGGCACCGTGACCTGGCAGCCAGGTGATGAGATAATACCAGAACAGACAGAATTACTACACATCCCCACGCTGACTCACATAGCAAAATATCACTCTTCAATAGTATTTAGGCAACCAAGTGAAATTTAGAGATATATTTTACTCAGTTCATTCTGTTTCATACCCCATACTCACCCAGATATTTGGTTCTCACAGCAAAGCTATCCAATATATCTCAGCTGAGGATCCTGCCTCATTACAGCTGTTCAGTTTAAATATATGCACCCTGCTGGGAGCTGTACACCACAGGTTGCTGTGAACTAAGCTATTCCTCTTCTAACGTGTATGAAATGCTCCTGTGTTCAGTCTAGATTGTGAATAAACAATTCAATGAGAAGATTGTATAGGCGTACCTGGATTGTTTGGCTCTGGTAGACTTTAATCACGTGAAAACTGAAGCTGTAAATTCCTTTTCTTGGTGACACAAAGACAGATTCCAACGTGAAAAAATTGCCCACGTTTACTAGGATCTACAAATAAAAAGTACAGAGGGGAATTAGCACAGGCATTCAGCACTACACAAAACACACAGGCTTTCAACTGGAGAAACCATTCACCCAAGGAAAATTTTCCATCTACATCTATCTTTTTTATTCATTGTTCTATCAACTCGCATGGAAATATTACACATAAAATGGATGTTAGTTCTATCTACAGTGCAGCCTTACGATAAATAAGCTGAGGGGAAAATCTCTCTTATTTTGCTGCATCTCACACCTACATGATTTTTATTCTACACATTTAGAGGATACTGAAAAAAGATATTTTTGTTCATCATCCCCCCAAAATGACATCAAAACACTGATTCTGGGGGTGGTACACTGGTTTGGGATACACAGCAATGGCCAAGTCTACACCACCTTCCTGGAAGTAACCAAGCTGGAAGCAAGAACGTATGGGAACACTACAGTTCATTCACTGTTCAGTCAGATCAGCTCCAGGAGTGCCTGGTGGATGAGCACCATCTGGCCAGGAGCCTTTGCTGCCCTCTTTATGTAAGCACTTACTGTAATTCGGGTCTGGTTACAGAGTCAAGGAAGAGAGGGGAACACACCAAACTAGTGCATCATCCGTATGATAAATATCTCCTTTAGTACCTACTTTTTATTTCTTCCCAGTAAATTATTCTCTATTTTTAATTGATATTTTCAGGTTCTTTTATGCCAGACCCAACCCTGGAAAGCCGTAAGGAATGCCCACGAAGTTGGGGTGATGCAAACAGCATAAAGCTGTGCTACAAGCCTGGCTCCAGCTACCACCACAATTTACTGTTCATCACGACAGGAGACGGGGACTAAAGCGAGCATCAACCTCAGTTACCTGCCCTAAGGCTGGAGCTCGTATTAAACGCGTGCTGGTATTCGTGTGTGATTGAGATGAGAGGGGCTGGGCTACGAAGCTGTGATTTTTAGAGAAAACTTCAATGGTTTTTCCCGGCAAACCGTTCCTTTTTCCCCCCTAGAAGGCTGCGCACACCCATTCCGCGGGCTGCCCCGTCTCCGGGGGCGGGGAGGCAAAGGGAGAACGGCGCTGTGCGGGGCTGCGCCCCTCCCGCTCGACCCAAACTCCGGTGGGAAACAACGGCGGACGCGGGGGGTGCGGCGGTGTCACCTGTTGCGCGCAACGCAGCCCCGCGGGGCCCCCAGCTCACCTGGTCGAAGTAGATGATGCGCGTCTTGTTGCTCATCTCGGAGGGCTCGTGGTTGGTGCTCCTGACCGCCGAGAAGGCGACCTTCGAGTTGGCCGCCCTCACCGAGATGCCCAGCGGGGAGGAGGACGAGCCCTTGGCGTCGGTGGTCGGGTTGGAATCGCACACCACCAGGCACTTGCCCTCCAGGACGATGGGCTCCGTTTCGTTCTGCGCCCGCGCCGCGGGGCCGCCCAGCGCCAGGGCCAGGAGCACGGCGGGCAGCAGCCGCCAGCCCATGGTCCGCACCCGCGGCCGCTCCGCGCCCCGCTCCGGCCACCGCGCACCGCGGCGCTCCCCGCCGGCAGCAGCGGCAGCCGCTCGGACAGTCTTCTTTCTGCCGGCTTCTTCCCTCTGCCGCTCTTCTTTTTTTTTTTTCCCCTCCGTCTTCTCTTCTCCTCCTCCCGCCCGCCACCACTTGGTGCCTTTCACACCCCCC